CCCCCAAAACCCCAAAACCCCAAAACCCCTTGGTTTATTAATAAAGTTGATATTATATAAAATGGTATTATAAGCTCTTGTACAAATTTAATTCTAGTTATTTAGAGAACATAAAATAACAACTTTTTGTTTCCTAGAGACCTTAGAATATTATTAAGACCCTCAAAGAATGCTGAAGTCATATTTATTCTCTTAAAATTTACTCAAGTTTATCAACGGTCTGAAATTTCCTTGGGATACTACATAGCTAATTAAAAGCTCATGCATCCTAACACTATATCTCTGATAGAGGCTATCTCGAATCTTCAAGTATGCTCAAAACGAAGAGATATGAGGAGGACTTAACAATCTTATCATAGTAAGCTGCAACGATTTCTAAATGAAAGCTTCTCTGGCATTAAAATTTGATATAAACTTTTACTGTTTACTAGAAGTACAAGAGCCTCACATCTCACTCTTGTATGAACCACAAAATCAGAGTAATAATATAAAAGGTAACGTTTTCAACTTTCAATTTTTCGAAACTTTTATTTATAATTAGTCTTAAGAGCTATAATTTTACAGGACAATTTTTATTTTCATGATATAAGAAAGTGCGAGGATAAAAATAATCACTTGGCTTACATCTTTTCTTTTAAAATAGTGATGTGAAGTCTAGGAAGAAACTCCACTTAAACTATATATGTTTAGAAAAATAGGCTATTTAAACTTGCCTTACGGATTGCTTCATGTTATGCTTGAGCCTAAAACAGAGAGAAGGCCTCAGTAAAGCTCTCTATAAATAAAACTTTTAACTTTTGGTTACCATAAAGTTTGTAGTAACTTTTTTATTCTTATCCTAGGGAGTATTTTAGAAGTAATGAACTGTCTTTTCATAATTCTATCGAGGTGGAGATATTAAAACTCATTCAAACATTTTGGAGAGCAAATAATTCAATAGGTGAGATGGGAAAGAGAGTCCAAAGATAAAGAGAGTCTTATGCTATAATTTATTTGGGTAGCATTCTATTAAATAGTCCTTGGACTTCACAAAAATTAATTTCCAATGTCTAGTATTTTCAGATTTCAAAATGGGGGAGCTATGAAGTTTATGCTGGTTAAAATGCAAGCTCCATAAAGCTGGACTTGCTGAAAATATTATTCAACTGAAGACTCCTTCTTTTAATCCATATATGATGCTACAATGAGCTTCTTCCTAAAACTTCACCATTTGAGCCCTATTGTACTAAAAAGTTATGAAAATACTTATTTGCATACCAAAATTGTCCAAAATTAGAAGAGTTATTGGCAAACTCAAGGTTTTTAAGAATAATAAAGTTAAGCTTCAAAGCAGTCAGGAGCATCGATATCACTCATGGTCACTGCCCTTTTGAAGTTATTGGAGAAATCTTGAGTTAAAACTTTTGATTTTTGCGTATAACCTTTCGATTCAAAAACTCTCTTGGGTAAATTTTCGACTTTAGTTGCCTTTTGAAGCAAGTTTTTGATTTCAGTCTTTTTTTTGATTATCCTCCTTGGTCTGTCGTATTTCTTGAAAATAGGACACTTCTGAAGTCCTAGGACAGCATCATCCATTGATGGAAAAGAACCCCTAGTATTGGCTTTCAAGCATGGTTGAGCTTTGAGCTTGCGAGTCATCTCCTTACTAAAATGGAATTGGCTTCCAGTCATGTTCTTCTCCAAATTTGGAGAGGTGTTTATTGAAGAGGCTGATACATTTTCGTCAACAAACTCTTCACTCAAATTCTCATCAAAAATAGGAAAATTGATCATTTTAATTATTTATATATACCAAGGTCTTCGCTCTTATATGGGGTTTTGGGGTTTTGGGGTTTTGGGG